TCTCCCGGCCTCGGGGCCCCGACTTTTAGGGGACCCCACTTCCCACCTTTACGGAGCCACGGGCACTTTACCCCAGATCATCCCCGGTTTGTGCCGGAAGTCTCAGCTACGGTGCTTCCCCTGTGTAACCCTGGTTATTCCCGGCAGAGCTAAGGATGAAGCCTGCAAAGCTTTACTTCCCGGATCATCCAGGACCACCCTGGTGATATTAAATATTTTATTCCATCCAGGGTCGAATGCCGGATGTTCCCAGATCATCCCAAATGTTGTCGGCAGTGTAACGGATGTACCCCGGTTGTTCCCGGTTACTAAGAGCCCCGAATCACCCCGGACGTCTACCAGGGCTCTGCAGGGATGTCAGTGAGACTGTAGCTTTAAGTCAAGACACATTATGAGGACCTTGTATTCACAGTTGTTATGGTGTCTCTGTCATATTTCCAAACAAATATTTTTCAAATGTTACAGCTTAAACTCTTAACCTGCAAATGGTGTCACACATTCTATCATGCAACCAGTAAAGATCAGAGCCAGCATAATTATCCTTTAAAACATTTTGAAATCTAAAAGATTTTGAATTATTTCGCTAAAATTGAAGTCCGTAATTTTATAATATCAATTGGGGTATTAAGGATTAAATGCCCAGCAGCTGAAAGGGTGGCTAACCTTACTTTTTATTTTGAAATACATGTACATGTGCCTAAGATAGCATTTATACCATTCTATAGAATAGCATATAAATTTATAATTACCATAAAAAATAATTTTAGCTTATCCCTTAATATATTTTTAAATAAAGTGGTATAGGCTATATTATTCTCTATTGAGGACATTCATTCTCTTCAAACTTTTACTGATTATTCTTACTTTCATTATTTTTTATCATTCTAAACATGACTTGCACATATTATAATCTTATTTTATAATGGCTACATGTATTTTATGTGATTTAGAAGTAATGTTTTATTTTATCCAATTATTACATCCTATAAAAAAGATGTGAGTTTGAGATACTTCCGTTTTGCACAAAGAAAATAATTAAAATTGCTCAAAATTTGTGCGGAAAACAGTTGTAACTTGAGATACTACCCTTTTGCACAAAAAAATATGTAACAAATTATCAAAATTTTATTTGCAAAACGGTTGTAACTTGAACTTATTCAAATATCTTTTTTAAAAAATAATTTGCTTCTTTTTTCTTATTTTGTTTCTAATTCCTTAACTAAAATGTATATATTTTCCTAAAATAAAACATTTTTATTCATTAACAAAAGTTTTAAAAAGTTTTTTCATGCTCCTGTAAAATTTGCTTAAATTGAGTTACAACCGTTTTGCGCTAAGCCCGCGATATACATTTATGATTTGAACTTCCTTTTTATTAAGGAAGTTTCAGGGTCTTTTCATGTGTGCAAAGTTAAAACTGTCAATAGACTTCCCTTTAAGTTTGCATTTTGTGAAAATATGATAACAGAAACTTTTAAGCGGAACAAGATTGGGGACAAATCTAACCCAAGCTAAGGAATCATGGAAATAAAAATGTATTGAATGAACGTAAATCTATTAAAATACAATTCTACTTCGTAATGACAAACAAAAATTTTAAAGTTTTTCTTGGGGGCTGAAATAATAATTTATATATTAAATAATCATAGGGAAAATAGATGCATACTAATCTAAATGTCAATTGTATTTTAATAGGGATAGGTCCATTCAATACATATTTATTTCCATGATTCGTTAGCTTTAACTCGTACATGACATATGATTAAATATGATGACATGATGAAGTTTATCTAATTTCCGAAATAAAAAGTTTGTTAAATGTGAATTATAAAAATTGATAAGATTATTATCCTATTTAAAGCTGCATTTTATGAATTTCACTAAAACAGACATAGCTACAATTATTTAATCAAATGGGGTTGATAGCGACTCTTGTTCTAAATTTTGCTTCGAGACGACCAAAATGACTTTATAACCTTATAAATCTGTAACTTCATTGTCGCGAAATCGAGAGTGCATTTCCTATTTACATGTGAAACTCCGCCTATGGGCCATCCGTACATCAACAGAAAATAAAACAACAAACTTGCCTGTTAGTATAAGTCCAAATTTAACGGTATATTTCCGCATTTTATGACGGTTGTTTTGTTGAAAAACCTTGTTAACAACGAAAACTTATGTACCGCGAAAGGATACCGGTAAAAGTTGATAACATGAGAAAATACTACATTTTCTTTTTACAACTATTGATTTTTGAGTCTAACTCTGTGACGTAACGCATACACAATCTTCATTTTGCTGTTAAAAATTGTAAACGAACTATAGTTCTACCGTTGGGTTTTCCTTTTAAAATCATATTTTCTTAACAGTATTTGATTGATTTTACAACCATTTAGAAAAATGTAAACTGCTTGGTTTTATTAGGCGGACAGCAAAATATTTATACATATTTATAAAATATAGCTATAACTGACAAATAAAAATGAAACCCGAGATTTAAAGAAAGTAATATTTAGGATAGAATTCAACCTTGAATAAAGATTACTTACCTTTTGGGCTATAGAAACAGTATGTCGCTCCCTGAGACACCGTTGTTTCGTTGAACTGGGAGCAATTTGTATCTGCCTCCTGTTAAAATATAGGTTATTGTATTCGACTTATATAGAAAATAGCCATGTTCAGTGCAATATTTGATATATGACAAAAGTGTACAAAAGATTTTACAAATTCGATTTCATTATACAGTCATGTGTTTCCAGGATGGAATATGATACAAATTGTAAATGAAGATAACGTTCAAATAGGTTTCAACTGAACTGTGTAATGTTACACTTGTGTAATAAAGAAAATATGTCAAATGTCTATTTAGTAATGTGCCTTTAATTTATTTGATTCCTGAAATTAAAGTAACTTCTTATTATAACTGATACAAATAAAAGCCCTTGCCTTTTCAAGAATGAAATCAGTCTCCAACAATCTAAATGTTTGATTTGTATGAACGTATCCCATGTCAGCCATTTTTTTTCTTTTTCTTTTACAAATTGAAATGTGGATGATTTTAGTCAACATTTCAGATTGCCCTGAAATAATACAGAAAATTTTATATTTTATCTTGTAATCATTCTGAACAATAGCAGTATGGCATGTGAAGAAACCAAAGCGACGAACAAAACTTCAGAACACATTTAAACGGGTCCTAAAATAGAGAAAAACAAAAGAAAGCCTAACACATCAAAACTGTAAATATTGCAGGTTCGGTTTGATTTAGCATGTTCATGGACGATAGTTGTGATGACATGATTGGAAGCTACCGTCCACGCCGCCTCCCAGCACAGGCTTCCGCAAATAAAGCCTGCAATATCTAAAGTTTTATTTGTCAAAAGATTTTTAATGACTAGGTACAGTTTCTACAAAGTGGTTCTCATTGTTCAAATACCTTAATTATCTATGTTTGCTTTTTTTGTTTGCGTCTCAGCATTTAGTACAGTAACAGTGAATAAGTATTTGTATAGAAGTCAAAATATTAACCTATCTTTATCATAATTTATTTCAATTAAATACTGCTTGGTTGCAATTGTAAGCATGTTCTAAATCCATAAAAAAACATCACGAAGGTCATACTTGTCTTTCCATAAAAAATCAAGGATAATGTACTTTCAACGATAAGAGCTAAAAACACAACCGGCGTCAACTTGTTATTGATTTCGTCAATTTAATAAGTTTTGTCATCATTCAATACTAAGAACAATCAAAAGTATGATATATTGTTCATATTAACATTCAACAACATTCTTTTGACCGAAATTGGTTAGTTAATAGCCTTTTTGAACAGTACAGATAAACAAGTTTACAATAATTTTACCCACGAACCTTCTTCACTCACTGCAATATCTGGAACATGACCATGCGACACAAATTCAGTGACAGGAAATTTTCTGGTGGATTCTTCGAATTCTAGAAAAATCACGATACAAAGATACAGCTGTATTATTGGATAAACTGTATATCAGATATTTCTGCATTTTAAAGTACGTATAATGATAAACATAGCAGCTCAAATGTACCATTGATGGAATATGATGGAAGTGATATATGAACATAAAACCTCGAAATATTTGATATCAGATTAGAAAGAAAAAATATTAGAACATGAAAATCGCAGAAACAAAGTAGACTAAATATGGAGAGATCTTGGAAAGTTTTTAATCAGAACATAAAGTATTTCAAGGGTACAATAATTGATATATACCCTTGGGACATGACGATCCGATCTTGTAAATGCTGTAGTTTCCTGGAATCCATTGTTCTTTATCAAGTCCAGTGTCATTACGGAATTTCACGCAAAAATAAAGATGCGTCCAATTTTCTTTACGATGCGGCGATTTAAAATAGTCATCGTTTATGAATAAGGAATTGGGGTCCCAATTCCTATCTAACACTGTAGAAACACTTTCTGAATTTTTACTTAATTCTACCATCTTGATCTTTAATTTGCTTTTCGACCAACCCCGAGACTGTGATTCCGGACAGCCATATTTACACATTGGTATTGCGTATGGCCCTGGTGGCCACATGCTCTCTTTCTCTTGTCTGTCTGTAAACATATACTTAAATTAAAAAAACTTTTCAAAATAAATCTATAAACAAAGCAAAATGTCTGGTTCTTCTAGTCACAGTCATCTAAAGTAAGTAATGGTTAGACTAATTTGTAGCAATTTTACCTATATGTCTATGACTATGTTTCAAAATTTTAAAATGTGAATTACATAACCAATTCAATGTTTTGAAAACTTCATCAAATTAAACAAAGTAATGTTTTAGTAACTCATTTCAGCTAAAGGAATCTATTATTCCTTTGGTAGAATGAGTTAAAGATTAGATATTGTGTGCAACTTTTTATTTGTATCTTTTATAAATCAATCAATCAATCGATCAATTCGATCAATTTGTGTTGACGGTAGTTTAATATTGCTTTTACTATGTATTGAGGGCAAAAATGCTCCAAACGTTTTCTTTCTTTTTCACTTTTTAAAATTTAATACAATGCCAAAAAACACACACTTTTTTGCAATGCAAATAAAAAAAACACGCATTAATATACCCATTTTGAGCAAATAAATTAATCAAAGCACTGAATGTTCTGATGGGGAGGCTATGACAGAATGTTTCAGGCTTATAGTTTCTTTTCTTTTTGCTTAAAATGTGCTGTTAAATAAGAAGATATGCACATTGCGCCATTTATCGCTCAGCCATTCATATACATGTATATGGTTAATATGGTTGACTATTCATTTTGTTAATATTCCAGAACATTTCATTGAGGTCTACATTCCGATTGTTAATCATGCAAATTTTGAAAAACCTAAAAACCATTTATAAATGACACACCAGCAGGTATGACGACTGTTCATTATAAGATCATAATACCATTTTACAACTGACGGTTCCTTATCAAAATATTCTAGGACTGTTCATCATAAATACTTTATGTCATTTTAATATCATTGAATGATAATAACAACTGCAAGTTAAGCAACATTTTAATTGAACATAAAATTATACATATTTACATGTACCATAATTGAGATCAATAAGACACTGTCTTGTGATGAGTATTAATATTCGTGCTCTACGGACAGAAAGTTGTCTTCTCCCGAAGCAAATCTCGAATAAAATCACGTTTCAGGAAATTATTCTCATTTCATTACTCGTCGCTGACTTTGACGGCTTCGGATAATATTAAAGCTAAATATTTCTTGAAAAATACATATCTGCAAAGCTTATTCAAAATTGAATCAACCTAAGTGAAAATTGATCAGGAAGTTATATCTTCTTTTTTTACCGCCAACACTCAACCAACTTATGGTAGTTAATCGATAGATTTTAAACCTCACTAGCTTGAAATATATACTGCGGTAAATCTGTTGTTAACAGGGTGTGCGGTTATAACGTAGGTTTTCCTTGTCAACCATTTCCCGCAAATAGATGAGAACATCGAAGCGTCAGTGCTATGAATGGTGTTATAAAAAGCGTGTTTTGGAGGTTTTTGTTGAAACTTCTCCAAATACCTCCAGAGGTATGCACGTCGCGGAGAAGGCACGCGGCAGGTCATGGTCAAGTCATCTCAAGTACCAGAGGTGATTGGTTGACCTGTCGTAATTTACTCTGGAGGTTTGGCGCTAGTGAATGCCGTTTTTTGTTGTCGTCAGTCAGGAAGTTGATGCCTTGACAGTACTGTCGTCTCTTTTACCACTAACGAACGAAGAATGGGCTACCAGGAAGATTCTGCTTGAAAAAGACGTCCCCGATGCTATAATCTCGGACATATGGTTATTCCGGTGCCGAGAATAAATGAACTTAAAACACACACTCTTGTTGAAAACAAAACAAAAAAAAACAACAACATATTTTCTGTAGTAATTTTTCAAGTGTTGTAAAATGAAAACGAAATTCGTCTTATGCCGCCAATTATTTTTAGAACACAAACATATACTTCTTTTTATTTGATTTTTCAAATAAACATAAATCACTTCAGCGCGCGCAAATATCGTTTTCAATTTAAAATTTCGTAAGATATGTTGATGAATTTCCGATGCTCGACTGTAAGTCATTCGTATATATATGCGGTTTTTTGTTTTGTTTTTTAAAGCTTCTTATTCTTTAATATTCTTATGTATCTCATAATCTGTATTGAAAATTTTATTACACATGGACTATCAAATTATGATTCGTTGCCCTAGAATTGAATAAACTTTCTGGGGTCATTCATTTGATTGAAGACTGATCTTTGCGTCTTTCTCTGAAATAATTATTTCCTCGTTAAAACATATTTGACCACATATTTCTGTCATTTAACTGTTCACTTTACTTCCGATTTTTGTTGTACCGAAACACATGTTTCTATTTGTGTTTTCTATTCGAATCTATAATCAGTTTAATGGGATCACCACCGGGTAAACGACTACTAGGTACTTTGGTCATGTTTTTTACCCCAAATATTTGAATGTTTCTATTGGGATTAAAATGAGCGTAGATAACTAAACTACTGGTTGTATAAATCCCTGAAATGTCTAATTCTAATAATGAGATTAGTGGATATATTAAGACTTTCACTACAAAATAGTCCTTAACAAAAGAGCACATTTTTAAATTTATTCCTTTACAAATAAAATATCAGATTGGGGATCTGTCAATTGCCAGACATATTTTTAAAAGATACTTTTATGTTAAAAGTTTGATTATTGAATTATGTAAGATGAAAATATAAGTATTGCTTTTTTTCATTTTGCTAATATTATAAATGTAATCTTGTGGTGAAATTTTGTGGGAGGGTCCTTACGGATTTTGTAGTTAAATAGTTTTTTTTCGGCGATACATGGTTTAAGAATATAACGTTTTCAAACTATATGTTCATCACAATTAGTGAATTTTTAGTTCTAAATGTATGCAAAATATTTACTAACAGCTATATGATAGAGCGGTTAATGAGCGTTTTCCGCGTACAGCCTCCTAAGGTGTACTAATAAGTTAGTTTTCCTTAGTTATCACGCAAGCATGATCCATGTCTCTGGTGTAAGCGGCAGTTGACCATTATTTGTCTTTAAAAAATATTAAGGACTATTAATGGTTTATAACAACAAAAGAACATGCATGATATTGAGACTACGGTGTTGCAACGTTCTAGTTAATGACCCGTCATAAATAGTTGGTCGCTGCGTAGTAATTGGAAACTTGTTATCAAAAATAATAAAGAATATTTGCCACCTAATTAAAGCATTTATCTAAGAATTTTCATTTATGCTTTTTGTTTAAAAAATATTGATAAAGTTATTATATAGAAGGGTTTTCATACCAGAACTATTTATTACCAACGTTCGTATGTCTAAACCTGATTACCGCGGCAGTATGACGTCACGGAGTAGTGATTTTGAAAAAATAACAAACAAAAATCGAGAATTATTATCTTTACAAATTGCAGATATGAAATTAAAGAATGAAAATATTTTCATATTGTAAATGTCTGTGATGAGTGATGAGTCAGCTTAGAAAAAATCAAGGTACTATTTTTTGACCTGATTACCGCGGCAGTAAGATTTGACGGACGGTTATTAACATTGGGTCGGCATAGCCTCCCCAAAAACGACTTAAGTTTTAGCAACACTGGGCTCTCATATCTTTAGGTATTTATAATTTTTATTATGTTGTCAATAAATTCTGTAAAATTTATGGGTTATAAATAATTTGTAAATATGCGTTAGTTATATCTTAAAACTACCATCTACCAGGATCTTGCATTTTCACCAGGTTACGGCAATTTAACAACAGTAGTTTTATTCCAAATGCCAATTTTGGAAAAGTCATTTAACAAAAACCTGTACAATAATTTATGACTGAGATTGCATTATAATATACATAGTACTAGCAGGAAATTTTTAAGGTTTCAAATTGTCAAATTGTCTTTGAATTTGCATAGATGACTAAAACAGATCAACGGTATATCAATATCCAACAAAAAATCACTTAGACCTTGAGGTCAAAGGGTTCATTTTATTTATTTGTCGATTTGATGTTATTGTCGGTTTTGTAATTAGTATTTTTGTGCGTAAATGGTTTTTGTTTTATTTTTCAAAAAGATTCACCCAAACAAATATATGATTTACCCTACATTACATCCAAATGTCAAATTATGAATTAAATGTCTGATTAATTTGTAAGTAACTTCATAAGTCATTATACGTATCATCTCTGTTTGATCAAGTAAACAAGGCATCGAGTTTTCAATTGTTTGCATGAAAAAAGTGTCAATTACAAGAAATGAAAACCTTAAAGCTTATCAAACATGGATTAACTAAAAACACTTTATTAAAGTATGTTAATTATGTGCTTTTTGATGGTCGGCAATTGTTAATGCAATGTTCCCTCCATGCTCCAAGCACCGATTGCAGAATATTTTATAAATTACAGTAGAAATAAAAATAATTCATTAACATCTATAGATATGTTTTGTGGCGGCTGCCATGAGTAGCAATGAGCATAATTCCCACCGGATAATTTAAAGGGTACTTTAGAAAGAATACTGATACAACCAATTGAAAATGCTGCAATTCCATTGTCCACAAAGATAAGAATTAAATGTACGTGAAAATGCATCATAAAGAAACGCAAAACTAGTTTTATAATTAAAGTTTGTACCGTACATTTTGGCTAAATTTCCGTGACGTTAAAATTGAAACATTTCAGCTGCTGTAAACTTATATTGTTGGCCGGTTGTTTAACCCTAAACATTGTATAAACTTATAACACATTTGTTTTTTAAGCTGTTAATATAGCATTTATTGAAAAAAAAGCCATCAAACCAAGCCGGAAACATTTCCAATTTTGCCGATTGGACGTTCTTTGGGAATTCTATTTCGCTCTATTCAATCTCTAAGGAGATGTTCATAGAGAATATGTGGAGCTAGATGGCCTGTTTATTAGTGTTTCATAGGGTTTGGTGATACAGGAGAGGCATAATAATAGGAAGCGATATGTCATTTCTTTTATCTTATAACTTAAATGAAATGCCAGAGTTGATATTAGTTCTACCATTAGTCATCAGTCGCTCGAAAATGTTAATAGATAAAATAGGAAGATCCTCAAATATCAGATAGGACATATATGTTATTTTTGGACGAGTTCACAATTCTTTGCCCTTCGATAAAAAATATAATCTACATAATGAATTCCGTTTATTAATAATAATAATTATTATTTAGTAGAAAACATTTAAATGTTTAATTTTCCTTCATATATTTCAAAGTCATTTCACATAACTGACAAATCTTGGTGTAACAAGGGACTTTTAATGCAGGGTGTTATTATATTAGTTTGCAAATAACACGTTAAAGTTAAATATGTTATTGAAAAGTCAAAATTATCATTTCAGAAATATAATATTCAACTTACAAAAAAATGCATACTTTTGAGACTTTATAATAAATAATGGAATTCAAAATATATACAAAAACTGAAAACCATTTGAAAAGTTTTTTGTCTGTGTAAAATAAGGTTGTTACATCGGTCAAAATAAAAAAAGCTTGATCGTTGAATAAATGATGTATCATGAGGTTGACAAATTTAACTGTGCGGTTAAAAATAAATATTTTCAAAAAAAGAAAACAAAAACAGAAGAGTAGCAAAGTTATATCTAGAAACCTTCAAACTGTATAATATCACTATGACAAGAACCCCCCCCCCCCCTAGAGAATGCCCTGTCAAAATGTATTGCGCTAAATTGCAAATTGTTTAAAAATATGTTTCTGTGTTATGTATGATACCATACATTTACTGAATTATGTAAATACTATTACTGACAACCCTATCTACCAAATATATTTGTGCAAATGTAGGTAAATACCTACACATATAAACTAAGTAGAAATGAAATACATTAACCTTAGAATATATGAAAGTACAATGGCATTAAGGGAACACGACTGTGGCTCAAAAACAAAAAGATATTGCATTTGAATGTCTAACATAGAATACGGTCGGACACTTTAAACAGAAAGATAATTCAAAATATATTCCCAATAAAATGTAAATCGTACTTTTGTGTTATTCTTAGTCCGATTCACGTAAAAAGGGTTGCAATTTATTTTCAATTTTAGGTTGATTTCGCAATCAAAATAATTTTTCTCGGAAAATATAGTTGGCAAATGATTTGAAATTTTGTATACAAGTTACCTTTTCATCAAATGGAACATTAATCTTGTAAAATTGTTTCTAGTTAAGGCAAATAAAAATTATTTAGTGGAGATCTTTTTAACATCATAATGATAAGTACAATGACATTGTGTTAAAAATAGCATGGACTGGACATTAACTTTAGCAACAATTACTTAAACAGTGACAAATTCATTCCAGAGTACATAAAAAAGTAACAATGACACCTACATAGGCTTTCATGTTCATTTCTTTTACTCAAAGCTCTACATAAGCTATGATAAAAACCATAAATATAGCGTTTAAATCTCTGAAACATAATTCATATAAACATGCAATCATAACTCGAGGGATTATGCAACACAGGATCTTTCCGCGTTCACCATGTCTAGCTTAGTCGAATTTCTGGGTATAACAAACAAATTAAAGAGAAAATTAGAACATAATTTGCAAATATACAAAGAAGAATTACATGCACTTTGTATTGAACAAGTGCGAGGGACATAGCTTAATAAGTGGTACCAATTCTATTCCACAATGATTTTGCACGTGGAAGTACATGCATAATATACCGTTGAAAAGATTATTTACATTTTCTAACCAACAGTCTATTTTCGCACGAATGATATAATTTTTAGAAAATCATGTAAATACATGTGGTTTTTAAACTAGTTGTAAACATGGCTGAGTTGCATTGTGATGAGAGAGTAGCAAAGAGATCATTGCAAAATTCGTGGGTTATTCGGCAATTGTGCGTCAGAAATAAAAACGGATCTGGATTTAGTTTATGTTCCATATCGTACAATTGCAAGGTTGGTGCTAATGTTTAAGGAATGTAGAACTATTGTTAAGAATGATCACCGTTTAAGGCGCCCAATTTCGCAACATTTGAAATAAACGTCAGCAATGTCAAAGCCATAGTTCATGAAGATGCAAGCAAAGCCATAGTTCATGAAGATGCAAGATATACCGTAGAGGAGATAAGCTAATTAAGAGGAAAAGAGAATTGAAAACAATTTCTTACATCCCAATTATAGTCCTGACCTCCCTACTTGTGACTTTTGGTTGAATCCATACATGAGATCTTGCCTTCGCGGTCGCCGATTCGAAACCCCTTGTCCCCTCTGAAACGCTAGCTAACAGTGTATAAACAGTTTACTAGTACCCACAGTACAGTTCAAAAATACTTTTTCGGAATGGATTCTGATGTTGGGAATGAGTATAGAGGTCCATGGTGAATAAATGTAGGACGCTTATAATAATTTCTCAAAGGTATGACTTATTTATCAAAACAGCTGTCGTTGGTTGTCAATAATTACAACATGCCTCTCGTATTTCAAGTTTGACGCCAGAAAAAGGGATTGTTACAAAATGACTGTCAGTACGAAAATGTATCAATTTTGATAGTGAACATGGAGTTTAAAGTAAAATTTGTATTTTGGATAGTTTTTTTTTTAGAAAAAGACATTTAACGAAAGTGACTTAGAAAGTCGCAAAACTAAATTATTTGTAGATAATGTAGGTTTGGATAAAAGACATGACCAACTCTGACTGGGTGTTCAATTTCTATTTATTTGATGATATGAAAATGAAACCTATAAAATGAATAAACAATCATAAATACATGAAATAGAAAAGACAAATTAAAATACAAATTCAATATCAATATCATTTCAACATTTCACATTTCAAATAATTCCAACTATTTAATTCATCCATTCAATACGTTTCTTTTATTAATAAGTAATATAAATTAAAACATATCTTACCAGGTGCAACTGGCTGACTTCTATTATATAAAATAATAGCAAATATTTCTATAAAGAACAAACGTAAAGTTGATTTATATAAATACAATATTCAAAATGTTCTTTGAAGAACTACTGAAGTTAACTTTACAATGAAAATTTTGAAAATGATTTCTTTGAAAAGGAATGTAAATTGCCCATGCATAAAATGATATGAAATCACTGTCACCCAATCACATTCTAACTTAACAAATATACAAGATATTTATAGAACATCACTTAACAACACAGGACATAACAAGGACATAACAAGAGACAGTTCACTGAGCATAGTAACTCACAACAAGAACAAGATATAACCCATAATTCTATAATGATGAATGAAATTGGTGTCATGTGATTATACCTGAATGAATGAGAATGTACAGTTAGTTGTTCACTACCGTGATTACGTATACAGATAGGCAGTAAATTGACCTTATCTACATATAAAATTTTCTGATCTCCTGCATCTTATTTGTAAAAGTGTTCAAAAATATATCAGAAACAAAACGCATGCATGCGGGGATAACGTTTTCATTTTAACGATACTACTTACCGTAACTCATATTAAGCTTTTCACAATTCACTCGGTTCGCACCATTTTCAGAACATTTTGAGTATGGAAACTCAGTTGGTTTATACACAACCTTGGGTTGAAGAGACACTGAAAAACATCAAATGTAGTATAACATTAGCTATGTTTGCTGATGATAAAACACTGGGTATATAATTTTTGAGAAATGGGAAATCCTGGACATCAACGAAAACAAGATAATTATTTTAACACTATGACTGATATACTTTTACCGAACATCTTACTAGTTTGTGCGAATTAATTTTAATGAACACATATTATTTCACATATTTTTTACCGAACATTTTGTTAGTTCGTGCGTATTAACTTTAATGAAGTTAGTTCACATACAAAATAGTTGTTGGCATTTATCATATAAATCATGGCATATCTCTCGATTAAGATATCAGCAATGGTCTTTTACAAATTCTTCTTAATAATGGTCTTTTACCAGCGCTTTGAACAGTAGCAATATCGGGAAAATTACTTCTTTCGAAATAAGAAGGCATTAAATGAAAAGATCAGTACTGTGTTTACTTATGCGTTGTTGTTATAATATCGAATTGAACAAAATCATTGCACATTTCATTCTGACTAAAACAAATTGTGTATTGAACACTCAATACATTCTGACATAAGAAATATTTTGTAAGAAGGTGAAAAATACTTGTTTATAGCCTACTTCATCTACCGTATGAAAAATGTCCGTTTGTCACTGTTTTATCGTAAATTAATTGTTATCTAAACAATATGTCGTCACATTTGTGCAACATCTGTGCATATTTTCAGAAAATAATGTTACCTTTTCGTTTTGATATGCATGTAATTCTGAGGATAAAGGAATAGGAAAATATGTTGTTAAACCTTCATATCTTTATAATGATGTAATTAAACATTGCACATATCAATTAACTTTGCATCCAGTTATTGTATTCCTTATCAAACGTTATCACAATTTGAAAACAAAACATCAGATTAAGTTTTCTGTATGTTATGCTATTATCTCTACGCGGCATCATAAATTCCTGACGCCCCCGATTCGCGAGTAATAGCGAAAATTAAAACATCGCGAAACAAACTGTATTTACAGTATACAAAAATGCACTTATACTGTAAAATCTACTTGTCAATATCAACACAAATGAATGAATGAAAACGGGTCATAGGAAAGCAATATGTTAAGAATTGTTATTTATGAACCATCCACAAATATAAGAGGGTTATGTTATGAACATAACACCTGTTTGGTTTATACAGAATTTATTTTAGTTCGATTGTGTAGGAAGCTATAAGCTTATAGACACACTTTCGAATCCGTTCCTGGAACCAACCAGTACTGAGCAATGAGTGTAAAGTTTCTTGCTCAAGGAAACAACGACTTGCCCCTGACGGGGTTTGAACCCATACGGCTAGCGATCATTAGATTACTAGTCCGACGCGTTAATCTGTTTGTTTGGGGGGAAACGAGTTCGTCATATATTAATCAATGAAATAAAATAACTAACTAACGAAAGGGTTATGGTAGCGAGTGTGAAACACAACCGTTATAGAAAAATTAATATAATGGTCTTGTCCCTTGAGATATTGGTGTAATAATTACACAAAGGATATTTTCACGATCGCCGTTCTTTCAGAAATGTCCAGCAACAGGAGAGGCAAGTTAAATTTTCTGTCAAATCAATCAGGTTTTAGTTATAACTATAGTGCATTTTATGTTGCATTATTTTGGTTTTGAAAACAATTGCTATTTAAGATTAGTTTTCGATCACCTTAGCACTTTTAGAGTGAAGAAACCCTAATTTTATTTATTTAATATTTTTATTTTGTAACCTTAAATTTGGAAGTGTTTCCTATGGATTGGAAAAATAATATACAATTTTTAATTGGGAATAATTTGACCCAATATCGACTATGAAAGGTCAAATAAAAATAAAAAATAACCCATAAAAGGGAATATGTTTTACAACGGTAAACGGTTTGGATAGGACAAGGTAACGCACATTAAATGGAAAATTACACGTATTTTTAATATTTATTACGATATTAATTAAATCCCATTTTAATGGAAAATTGATATTTTACGGCTTCATATTCAAGAGAAGATGAGACGCTCTACAAGAAAGCGAAAGACACCTGGCAGACTAGAAAATCATGATGACAGAAAGAAACAGAAAAGGCGGCCAACGCAAAGCTCTCCCACACTACCTAGGGCCCATAAGCCACCGCCAAGAGCGCCCACAAGTTCAAGTAGGTCACATACTGTGGCAACACAATCGCATAAACCACATACCACTCCCCCTTGGGCACCTACACCACCGCCCAGGGATCCTACACCACCTCCCAGGGTACACATACCACAAAATGCTGATTTGAGGCAACAGTGGTTGGACCAGAACTACCAACTGGCAAACGAACAAGGTAATGTACAATCTATTCTAAGTGTCAAATCTATGCTAAGTTAGTGTGTTCCCCAAAATGTAAAAAGATATACAGAGGCAATATATAGATATGACCATATTATTGCCTAATTGTAACAATAGCGCCATTCTAAAATATGAAAAGGGGCGAAACTTGTTATAAATGGAGCTGGTTAATTAGTTGTGGCCACATCAAACACCAAGAAAACAAAAAATAAAGAATAAAGATCTGATGCATTTTTAGTATTTGCAAGCATATACATGTATCTAAGCGCTTACCACACATAAACTCGGGCAAGTCTGGTGTATGGGTCAATATTTAGGACAGCAGCTAAGCGTCATTTAGGTTCATGGTGGCAGAGTAACTCTCAATTTCGGCTAAGGCTTGGGTCAAACTCGAACATGTCATTTGGGGTAATATGTAAAAAAGCTATGGATATTGTGTATGGATCCAAGTGCAACAGCTTTATAAATGGGGACAAAAAATGCTATAATTTCAATTACCGCTTTTGCACAAGATTGGTATGCACTTACCGTAATATTTCTTTTTTCAAATTGTAGTTGAAATCGCACAGTTAGATCATGCAGGAGGCAGACATACGCATGCATGGGGGCACAGCGACCAATGCGACCTTAAGCGGCATTCACGCCACAACAGCAGGTGCAACGCTGGTCAAGCAGGTAACCATTTAGGCCCCGAGTCCTCTCTTATATACCAAGAGTCCAAATGAAATTGTAATGCTAAAACCTCAATATATTTACATCTACGTACCTCACCAGTAAAAGTAAAAATCCAAATGCTAGAAAAAAATACTTGCAGCATTATGAGAATTGTACAGATGCCAATATTTTGGCTAATGGGTATAAGCATGGCTTCAATATTGAATTCAAAGAGATGCATTTAATTGTCAAACGCTTATATCTGCTTATAAACATAAAAACAACTGCAGGAAAAAGTTAATAGAGAATAAGCACTGGGTAAGATTGATGGGCCATTTGATAAACCTCAATATGATAATCTAAGTATATTTCCAGTAGGAATTTTGCCAAAGAGGCTAGAGAATGATCACTCATTTATCATTCTGTCATGGATCAAGTATTAATGATGGCATTGACAGCCAGTTTTGTTCGTGAAAATACACATCGTTTGATAATGTAACTGCAATGTTTTACGATTTTGGTCATTCGTTGTTTATTGCAAAACACGACCATAAATCAGTATAAAGAGTTCTGCTAATAAGAGTAGAAGAAAAATATTCCATTGATAATTTTTTTACCGGTTTGGTTAAGCCAACGTGCAAAATTGTATAAAATATTTTCTTCTTGTCATCAAGAAGGCAAAAGCAAGCTCAATCGATCACCTCCTGGATGATTTTATTATTGCTGGCAGTCAAGGTACCCATACATGCCAGCATTTAGTATCAACATTTGAACAGGTTTGTGTGGAACTAGGCATCCCCATAGCCCATAAAAAGTCTGTAAACCCAAATACAGTAATGGTGTTAATAGGTTTTGAAATTGATACGTCTAAATTAATGGTCCGAATCCCAAGTCAAAAAATAAAAGAATTGTTCTTATTAATATCAACTATAGTTTAAAGGAAGACAATATCGTTTACGGGAATTACAATGATTAGTGGGAAAATTAAATATTTTCGGAAAAGCAGTTAGGACCAGTCCAGCATTTTCTTAACTGTTCTATGATGCAATGATTCCTGTACTTTATGCTTAGAATATCACGAGAAATAAGGAAGGATCTGAAGGTTTGGCAGACATTTCTAAGGATTTTAATGGGATAACCTACATACAAAAAACCCAATGGTTTAGTAGTGATAAACTGCAGCTATTTAAAGATGACGCAGGTTCAGACATGCTTGGAACAACTTTTTTTGGAGGGGAAATGGTGTTTTCTTGCATGGCCAAGGTTATGGAAAGGTCATTCAGTTATGAGAGATTATATATTTTTGAAAATGGTACCAGTAGTTTAAGCCATTCATATAGGGGTAAACAAGTAAAGAAATAAAAAAGGTATAATTATATTGACAATGAGGCTTTGGTAAGAGTTTTCAATTGTCAAACCTCTAGGTCAAAAAGGTTGATGCAAACATGAAAACGTCATTATAGGCTGCTGCGGCAGATATTACGTTAACGTGCAAGAACGTTACGTCTGATTATAGCTATTGATAATAGCTATTTGTCTGAGCCTAGCCTTGACTATACATGTTGCATGCGTGGGTGCGTGCGTGCGTGCGCGATAGATAAAATGCATTTATTTATTTAAAAAAAGCTTGAAATATATAGTACTCATAAACTGACCAACTTGGTAACGGGACAAATATTAAAGTTTCAAAGTAAAGTCGTATTTCTATTTTTCAAATTGCTGCTTTGGCTAGAAACAGCTTCCGGAATAAGTTTGAAAATCCAGGATTTTCTTAAGTTATTAGAGAAGAAATGACAAGTTCAGTTAACAATAAGTATTAAGTTAAGCAAACATTGGTCTTTTAATTGCACATACCCCTAACAATAAGTGCTTGGGAGACAATCAAAGTTGAGAACCCCATGGGGTTTTATCATTCTCTCACTTGGGTTTTGCTATCCCATAGGGTAATCCATGGGGTTTTGCCCCCATTTTATAAAAATGGGAGACAAAAAAATAATGGGAGATTTAGAAAAA